TGAGGGCTATTCAAAGGATAAAAAAATAATTAAAGGGGGAATAATTTGAGTCAAAAACAGGGGACTCCATTTCTTTAAAAACTCCAACTCTATGAGCACCATACCATCCTCTCTTTGAGGCCCAGGTGGCTGTGCAGTTTTTATGCCATCAGTCAAAAGGTGGACTTTGTCAGGACTCTCTGGAAACTTTCCTGGGAACCCCCCCCCCCACACACACACCAATAAAATTGGAGGGCAGGAGGGGTGTGTGGCTCTCCTCTCTTCCTTGATGGTGTCCCCTCTTCCCTTTTCCTATCCCTTCAATAAACTCATGCCTGCCACTCTGAGCAACGTGTCTGAAATCTCTCTGGCATGATTGCAAGAACCAGAAAAAAAAAGATGCTGTGGCTTCTCATCAGAACTGTTCCTTGAAACATAATTAAAACCATGTGACACTGATGCAGAAATAGGTCAGATAATGTTCTAGAATAGGGTCCTCAGAAAAGTCCTAATTATATTGGAATAGTTATAGATGTTGAAAATGTAGAAACAGTGGGGAAAGAATAAGGTATATTGTAGCCATTTGGGGGAAATGGTTGGCTATTGGGGAACAATCAAAGCTGAGATCAACAAAACATCTCCATTTCTTCTACAGACATGAAGCATATGGCTGACGTCACAGGTCAGGCTTACTTCTCCACCTCCCTGCAGTAGATATGAGCTGGTTTAATATGTTGCTTTGGCTTTCCTCTTTTCTGAATTAGGGTAGCCACCTAGCATGGGAATCAGGTGTCCCCTTAGGACAGTTTTCTCAGCCCTTGCTGCACAGTAGACTCACCAGGGGAGTTTTTACTATTGTTCCCCTGCATCCTGAGTAATTAAGTCAGTCTCTAGATTGGGGCCCAGATATTAGCATCTCCAAGCCCCCCTAGATGATTCTAATGTGCAGTCAGCATCAATAGCTACTGCTTTATGAGATATTGTTTTACCAAACTGATATATTCAATGTTGATTTCTTAGGGGGAAAAAACAACTCTTTATGCAAGTTATTTAAGAGTTTTAGGAATACCACATTCTTCCCATGAGCAGACTAGTTAACGTACATCTTGCATTTAGATTTTCCCTGATGAATGCCATTGCCTGAGCTGTCACACAAGAGTGGTATTTTCACATTTCTTTGGTGGAAGTGAGAGGAGATACTGTAGAGCTTGGCTGAACTCTGACCTGTATGTCTATCTGTAAGGCCCTTAAGAGCAAGGGATCCTGTGTACTTGTCAGACTGGTGTACCCCTGGAAATGCAAGTCTGGGCCAGTTAAGAACAGTGCCAAGTAATCACCAAGCCACCCTATATAGCCTGACACTACAAGAAAACCAAGTCTTTCTTGGGTCAAAAAGTTCTGCTTGTGTTTCCAGCTCTTTCTTCTTTACTTCCAATTGGCCAGTTACCTGCACTCAGCTTTACCTAGGAGCCAACAATATAAGGAAGGAAATGGATTATTCCAGGTCAGAAAGGTTCTGGGAAACTTTAAGTAAGCTTGCCTCTGGAGAAAACACTTTTTGGCCCCTGTTCCAATCTTGGCAAGGATCTCCATCTTCTGGCTGAGGGAGAAGAAACCCCTTCATCCTTTTCCAGTTAGTGCCTCTTTCTAGACCTAACTTCCTGAGCTTATGCTGAAATCCTGTTAACAATCCTGTAGGAGAGGCAAGTGACTTCAGATTAGACCACTAAAGATAAGGCTGAGCGGGGGAGCAGTTGCCAGAGTCATTCATTGATGTGTCCACAGTGCCTGCTTGGGGAAGTCCCTGTGATAGGCCTACAGAAATATATTATTATAGACATGTACAAAACATTTTGAGTGTTCTAGAAATGTGTAAAAGCTACTCTGTGGGGGCAAGGGCAAGTGGAAAATTCAAGGGCTCTGATTGAGAAGTTTAAGGAGGTATCTGTCTGCTCACATGGACAATCTCCTTTCCCACAGTGTCCATCGTAGACCTTGATCTCCACGTGGAATTGAAGCCACTGCTAAGAAATCAAATACTGTGCAGACCAAGCCTTACACATAAAAGTAGAGTTGGCACAGGAAGCACAAGAAGAAAAAGTTAGAAGTCTCATCCAGGTCCAGGAACCCCTGGACGTCTCAGGGACACTGGAGTAAGAGTGAGCCCAGGCCAGCCTCAGCCAGCTCTGCAGGAGAGGCAGAAGCTGCACTTGACTTTGGTTTCAGCCACGTGCACTCTGTCAGACTGCCATCTGCTAAACTCTTTCCATCACTCCCTCTGCTTTTAAGTCACACACCTGTAGTCCCCTCCCTCATAGAGATCTTATGGGCCCCAAAGTGAGATCCTTATTAGAAAGTACAAAGAGAAGAAAAAGCGTGGGTCTGGAAATCAGGCCAGAGCTCTTGGACCATGTACCCGAGGACACCATCCTTTCCTTCTCTGATCTCAGTTCCATATTTTAAAGGGACAAGAGGCTCAAGATTTTCTCCCCTGCCACCTGTGTAGCACCCCGTTTTCCCCCATCACAGCAGCCCTATTGGGATTACTTCATGTGTCAGCCTACCGGATTATGAGGTCAGTCCAAGAGGGGCCAGGTCTGTCTTACACATCCTGTGTCCTCAGTGCAGTGGCAGGTACACAGGTACTCAAAAATATTTCTGTTGCATGAGGAAGGAAGGAGGAAGATAGCCTCACAAGCCCCAGGGACCTATTTGCATGAAGGCTGCTAGGAGTCCTGAAAGTTCCTGCAAATTAACAAGGAAGAAAACTGGTTTTCTCCATTCCCTAAAAAGGAAAAACAGTGAAGCAAGTGGCAAATGACAAAATAGGATGTGGTCTGGATTTTCAGGCTCTACAACCCTGAAAAAGCAAAGTTACCTGTGGGCCCCCAAACCTTGTGAACCTCCCAGGCTGGTCCTTCCCAGGGAGTAGACTGACTATAGTGGCTTTTTTCCAATGGTGTTAGAGGCCTGAGGCTTTGCCAAAGCCAACAGATGAGACTCTGTTAGGGCTTTATAGTTTACACATATTTTTTGTTTATTTGTTTGCTGTGCTGGGCATGGAACCCAGGACCTCCTGCATGCGAGGCCACCCAGCCCTACACACACATTTTCTTATTCTTCAAAGAACTCTGTAGAATAGGGAGATTGCCTGGGGGCTGAGGAAGAAGGGTGACATTAGAACAGAGTGGGACCTGGGAAGGACTGACTAGAAGGGACATCAGAGTTGAAAGCCCCAGAGTTTTCCCCCTACCGGGAATAATTTGGAGGGGACTCTGATATATGCCCTTAACACACACAATATCAGAAAAGGGAGGAAGGGGTGACTGAGCAGGTGGACTTGGAATCTCAGCAGGTCTATGTCATGACAAATACCGCTGAATATAATCTGGGTTCTTGATTTAAAAACGGGAGCCGGGGGAAGGAAAAACGGAGAGAGATTTAGCATTAGATTACTTTTACAATAACCCAACTCATACTCAAATTTTGGAATCACAGAACCAAACGCCTTGCCTTCTACAGGAGTATCCCCAACTCTCCACAACATCAACATCACTGGCAACCATTTGGTTCAGCTTTTCCTCCCACAGGATGGGACTGGGGCGTGGTAAGTGAGGCAGTGCCTGGAGGGGCAAACCGTAAGAGGTGCCAAAAAAAAAAAAAAAAAACAGTAAACATGTTCAAAAACTTTTTTCAAAGACTCAAAATCAATGCCAAAAAAGTTCACAGTGAACAAAATATCAGTACTTTCAATACAGACAGGATCTAGCCCCGTACTTGCTCAACATGTGAATGCCTCTTCAAACTCACCACGATCCTAGCTCTGAGCAAACTCCTTCTCGTTTTGGGACATTTACACTTGCTGTTCTTTCAGTCTGGAACATTCCTTCCAGATCCTTACCTCCTTGGCTCCCTCTCACTGTTTAGGTTTCTATTCTAATGTCATCTTTCCAGAAAAACGTTTCCTTCTCTGACTTACGACGGAAAAGTCACCCATTCCCGTCCCCACTGCTGTCTTCTTACAATTACTCTCTGTCCTATCACAGTTTTATCTGACCACTATGCAATTGTTTTATTTGCTTATGTATTTGCTAATCCCTCTTCAGTGGTTTTTTGCACATAATACATGCTCAAAAAATATCTATTGAATGAATAAAGTAAGCTCCCGTCTATCAGAGCTCATGCAAAGGGCTTTATTTGTATTATTTCATTTCATCCTGTCTGTAATCCTCTCCGATAGGTTCTATTACCACTGTTTTACAGACAAGCAAACTAAGGTTTAGAGAGATTGGAGACGTGATCAAGGTCACGTGACTTCCTAGTAAGTTAATTGGAGACTAGCCATCTAGAAACTATTTCTCTTCACCACCCGCCGCCACTCAGGTCCCAGTCTCATCAACTCTTACTTGAATTACTTCAGTGGCCTACTAACCAGTCTCCCAGCTTCTACTGTCGCCCCCAACAGTCCTTCTGAAAGAGCAATCTGGAGTTCTTAACTCAGACCAGTGCACGTCTCCCCTAAGCTTCAGTCCCTCAGTGCTGTCCATTTCTCTCAGAATATAAACCAAGGGCACCTCTTGGCCCCCACACACTCTCCCCTGGCTTGCTCATCTCTAGCCACTCTGGCTTCCTCCTTGTCCCTTGAACACACTGGGCAAAATTCCACCTCGCTTATTTCTCCTTGGACTGCTGTTCCTCAGATAGCCACATGGCTCACTCTTACCTCCTTCCCTGGGTTCAAAGGCTGAGCATCATCTAAAGAAATTGCTCCCACCCCTGCATTCCTGCTGCCTCTTAGCTCTCCTCCCCAATAGGATTCATCTACCCCCCTCTAATACTTTTTCCATTTTTTTTTTTTTTTAGGTGTTGATGGACACAACCCAATGCCTTTATTTTTATGTGGTGCTGAGGATCGAACCTGGGTCCCGCCTGTGCTAGGCGAGTGCTCTACCGCTGAGCCACAATCCCAACCCCTTTTTGCTTTTTTTGATTATTTGTTTATTTGTTTATTGACTGTCTTCCCCTCTGCAGAGGATGCAAGTCCCATTAGGTCAGGGACCCTGGTCTTTACTTGTGTGTCCTGGCCCCACACCGATGCTCAATTAAGCTTTTCTGAGTAAATGGTAAAATGGTGGAATGAGGCTATGAAACCAGGTGATTTTTCTCCAAGCGCTTTTAACTAAATCAGGAGGCAGTGTTGTGTTGTTCAGGGATTATCTCCATGACCGCTGCTTTCTACTATTACCCAAGCCTGAATGAAGGCTCAGCCTCGCACACCTGTGAGGTCACTTAGCAGGCATCTTACCGTAGTTACTTGGCTTCCTTATCTCTCTCTTCCAAGGACAGATTTTACTCTTGTATTCCCCAAGTCACCTCTGCCTGCCTCACTGAGCCATTGTTCTGACAACAGTAACATCCCAACCCTTTCCTCTATAAAAAGCACCAGCAAAGGCAGCAGTGGACCCAAGGGCCCAGGGAGGGGTTCCGGTAGGATCCACTCCTGGAGAGGCTGTCCCCATATCAGTCTGAGCTTGGGTCAGCTTCCTTCCTGCTGTCCCACCTGTAGACACAGAGTGGAACCAAACCACATGCCTTCCCACTTCTTCACCTCACATCGCTTTGTAACTCTGTGGCTGCGAACTTCTCAACTGTCCTGTCAAGTTTCATGATAAAATTGTACTTCTAGAAAGCAGATCCGACCTGTGCTCTGGCTAATTTCTTCTTTGGCTTTGTACAAAAGGTGCTATGTTTCTGGCTTTCCTCAGGCCCCAAGAACTGTATGTGTGCATGTGTTTAAACAAGTTTAGATCCCATACATTTCATTCATTTTAAGCACACAATGAAATGGACTTTAAAAATTTCACCCAGTTGTGCAGCCAACACCACAATCCAGTTTCAAAATCAATCCCATCACCCCAGGAAGGTCCCTCATACTCATTTACAGTCAGTCCCCACCTTACCCTATTCCAGGCATCCACTAATCTACTTTGTCTCTACCGATTCACTTATTTTGGACATTTAATATCAACGGAATCATTCCACAAGTCTGACTTTTTCTACTTAGCATAATTCTTCTGAGTTTCATCCATGCTGAAGTGTGTACAATATTTTGTTCTTTTTTTATACAGTATCCCAGGTGTGTGGTTATAAATGGGATTAAATGAACAGTTCTGGTCAATGGGTCCTATGCAACTCTAGGTGTCTCCTGGAGAAGTCCTAGACCCTGGTCACAAGGCTCCCTCAGCTCTCTGAGGAACCTTTCTGCAATTCTGTCTTGGTAGGAGGCCAAGTCTTTTGTAGTGGGCATCAAGGTACCTTAAAGATCCGATGTCCTCAAATCAATGTCCTTTAGAGGTCCTGGGTCTCCTTATTAGACTGAAAGCTCTTGGCAGGGAGAAACTGGGTTTTCAATTGCTCCTGTCTTTTCTCAGTCTCCCAAGAGCAGTGCTGAGAAGAAAGCAAGTGTTTGATAGATGTGTGTGTGTGAAGCAGAGACACAGTGGAGGGACTGCAGATAGTCCCTCCACTCCCTCTCCATTCCTTCAGCCTCACTGCCTGGTGCCAGCTGTGCACTTTAGGGCTGCAGTACTGCACAGGTGTACAAGAAGAGGGTGGCTGTGCCACCTCCTCAGGGGCTGTGTGTCACGAGCCATTCGTGGATTGCATGTGGGTCACTGAGCATGGAAGCCTCGTGGATAGAGACATTTGGTGTCTGGGAATAACCAAAGGACATTTCCTCTGGTCAATTGCCCAGGGAAAATGTGAATCTTTCCCGCTCTGCAGTGGCCCAGCCCACACAGCACCTAAGATGGTATGACCTGCAGAGATGTCAATCAACTTGCTGACTTCAAGACATCAGGAAGCAAGACTCTGCCCTTGAAACCTTGTCCCTGCCTTTGAGGTATCCCCTTAAATAAACCACCAGAGCCATTTTTTCTTTTGTCTAGTTCCAGAACCCATAGACTAGATCTATCAGGGACTTCACATTATGGAAATATATTTCTGAGTATCTGGTTTTGTTATTTATTAATTATCTGAGATTATAAGTTTTAGGGTGGCTTGGATTCTCCTGCACAGAAACAAGAACCCCTTATTGAGACGCTGGCCGTCATCCTCCCCTCAGAAAGCAGTGGACTCAGATATCCCTCTAGTTAGTTCCGCAGGATACACAGAAAGAGTACAGTCCCCTTCCAGTGGGTTCTCATTCTGGATGACTTTAGACAGGGTTTCCCTTCTGCAAAAGAGGGAAAATGCGTACTCTACATAGCCATGAGGATTAAATAAGATATCTGTAGCATACTCCCATTCCCTCTCTTTTCTTAGCCCTAAGTCCAGAGATGAATGAGATGGTGTCATAGCTTTAGTGGTTTGCTAAGAGTGGTGGTCACATGATGCTAAGGGTGTTCCCATCTCAGTTGGAAGCATTTAACCTGTATCAGAAAGGTATGCCAAGGACTCTGAATTCGACTTTGATCTTGGTGAGATGTTGCAAGACACAGTGGCAGATGGGAAGCTGGATGTGTTTCATTTGATGTGCATAATTGAAGTCCCTAAAAGAAAGTGCTTGTTTTGACTTTTATGCTTATTGTTAACATTAATAGATTTTGAGATTTCATATTCTAATATGGATTTCTGATTTCCTTCAAAAAAAAAAAAAAAGAACAGAAGATCTGGCAATTGGGTTTCATGTGTGGAAGGACAAGCACCCTCTAGCTCCGACTAGGTGAGCGTTCTTCACCCATGCTCCTTCACACTGCCAGCCTGGCTCTGAGGCTCTTGAAACCAAGTCCCTTTAAAATATGATGCCCAGCAAGGATCATTCCTGGAATGCACAAAGGTTAAGTAAAGCAGGTGAGTTGCTCAGAGATGCAAATTGTCTGCTTGTTGGAAGGGTGGAGGGGCGGGCTGTAAAACTGCTTTCCTCTCCTCTTATCCAATGCAGCATGTAGATGCTAAAGAGAGCCTGAAGAGGGGGGCAGAGTGGCTGAGCTTGACCTAAACTTTTGGCTAGGATTTAGAATAGGGAGGTTTGCTTAAGAGCAACTGTCCTGACTGCCCTTTACTTACTAGAAGACTGTGCATGTAAAGTGCTCAGCTTGCTGCCTGGCACAGACACAATGACACTCATGACACACTGACAGCCAGTGTCATTGCTGTACCCATCACTAACCCTTGACTTCCTGGCACATAACCAGCAACCTTTCCTTTCTTTAGTCCTGACCCTCTAATGGTCACCTCCCCTGCATCTGCCTCCTAACCTCTTCCTAATGCCTGGCTCACTCATTTGCAGCCCTGTTAAACTAGCACTAGATGTGCTAGTGTCGTGATCCTGCTTCTCTTTCATGAGTAGCAATAAAGTCACTGAAGGGAAGCGAGCCTGCCCGCTGGCCTTCTGAAGAGGAAGTGGCAAGACATCCCTCTCCACCATGGTCAGGCTCTGCGTGGGAAGAGTCATCTCAGCCCAGAGCTGGTGGTGTTGGAGAAGTAAGGAGGACAAAGATGCCCTCAGCATGGGAAGAGTAGGGACATTGGTGCCAGCTGGAAAGCCACCACTTGCTCTCTGTCCTGAGACAGAGGGGGCTGAGCAGGAGAGTGCCTGCTGGAATTCTCCTCCTGGAGACAGCTCTGGTGAGAGGCCTGCTCCCAAGTTCTACTTCTAACTAGGAACTGAATTGACAGGCTCTTGCCACATTTGTGAGCAAGTGAAGAGATGGGGCCTGCTCTGAGGTTATCAAAAGGCCGATGTACCATAAATGCAGCTGGTTATTCTCCCTGGTGGTAGAAAACCAACAGCATCACCAACCATAAGTGTGACCTTCCTCCTCTACTTCTCTGTTGGGTTTCTCTTCTTGCTTGTTTTCTTTGCACAGTAGGCAGTTCAGGAGGCTAAGCCCCAAACAAATGCTTCTTTCCTTTCTGAGGTGTCACAGCTCTGTGAGCCCAGATGTACAGCCTGTATCTTTTTCCCTCCCAACCCCAGCCCATCTGTTCCACAAAGATGAACCCTAAAGCCCCTTTAGGTAGTGGGGGCCTAGCCCCAAGTGCCAGAGAGAAAATTGCCACTTTTTCTCTTTCCTCCTACCATGTGATTGGCTTTGAGCAAAAGCTAATTCTAGGCAGCCTCTGTCAACTTCCTGAGGTTGATGTCTACCATGATCCTTTTGGGAATGTATGCTTCCCTGTTACTGGTGGGGAGAGAATCTGGGGAGTCCTGAAGGCTGAAACAGGGGCAGAATCTGAGAAATGTTGGGCTATGAGGATGCTGCGCCTTCTTCATCACTGTCTCATCCTGGGGACACAATTGCTACCACCATGATGGTGTCCTACTTGGGATGGGGGTACAGGGAAGGTACTTCGCTGTTGTGTGCACTGATGTGTCATGATGGGACTCTTCCCTCTTACTTGTTATTCAGGACCCAGGGTTGTGCCAGCCCAACACACATGGGTGCTCTGCTTTACCCACCCCCTTGTGGAGATGATAGTATAGCTAAAACACTCTGTGCATTTACTTTGTTTGACCAGGCATTTTAGTATCTTTACTAACTCATTTGCTGCTCATAATAAAGTAGGCAATATGTTTCCTTCATCTTTCAAATGAAAAAGCAGGCTTAGAAAGGTTAGGTGAGTTGCCCAAGGTCCCCCAAACAATAAGTAGTAGAGCTGAAATTTGAACGCAGGAAATGAAACTCCAAAGCCCCCCAACTCCTATTGCCATTTCCACATCCTCTCATAAAACTGAGGGCCTGAGGAAGGCCAGAGGTCTATACAAGGATTTCCTTGGGGCCTAACCACGAGCAAGCCCTCTCTAGGGAAGAGAACTGGAGGCAGCTCTCTGGTCCCCTCAGTTCTAGGCTGGTGGGGAATATGTTGATTTCAATGAGAATCTGGCATCTGGCACTTATAACACTAAGGCATAGCTGAATGCAGCAGTGCACACCTGGACTCCAGCTACTCAGGAGGCTAAGGCAGGAGGATCCCAAGTTCAAGGCCCGCCTGGGCAACTTAGCAAGACCCTGGCTCAAAATAGAAATAAAAATAAGAGGCGAGTAGTTAAGCACTTTCCTAGCATATGTGAGGCCCTGGGTTCAATCCCCAGCTCTACCAAAAAACAGAACAAACACACACACACACACACACACACACACACACACACACAGAGGCATCTGTCTGAGTTTTCAGATCAGAAAGAAAATCCTTTTGGCAAACTCTTCAAGAGAGCTAGCCTCTAACCAGCTCCTGGGGCTCATGGTAGAGACAGTGAACTCTTGTCTTCACCCTGTGTCTCCCCTGCCCCCCACCACCCCCACTTTTTACTCTGGAAAGGCCTTCTCCTGGGCCTTGACTAAAGAGTCCCCACCCTGAAAAAGACCAACCACTGAGCTACAGATCAAAGAACATCCATCACTTTCCTGACCCAGGGCAGCCTCAGTTGGCACTACCTGAGCCACTCTGCCCCCAGAAAACCCCCAGGCCAGCTGAGATGAGTACCACCTGGCAGACTCCGGCCTGCAGCTCATGGGCCTGTATAGCTGCCGATCTAACTGCACCAAACCTTTGATCTAAAACTGGATTGTGCTTATGCACTCAGACTACACATACCAATTCTCATCAGAAGCTTTTTTCTTCTGGCAGAGTATGAGCCAAAAACACAGTGCTTTTTTAAACTCAGTTTTTGTCACCCTCTTCAAAAATCTGAGACCTGAACTCTTATTCCCATCCAGTCAGACCTTTAACCTCCACTTCCTCTGTTCTTCAGCCTTCCTTCACAGGAAAACTGCTGACAAACTGCCCCGCCCCGTGCACTCTCTTATAAACATGGGTTTGCTTTTACTGTTTACAAAAGTAAAATATGTCCAGTGTGGCTTGAGATGCCTTACGAAGACAGAACTGGCCCACTGTACCCATGGACGAGAGAAGGGCAAGAGTCGGGATGGAGGCAGAGGTTTTTAGTCTGCAGTTGTGGATTGAGAGAAGACTGATGGAAGGAAGTTTCCACACAATTCACAATTCCACTTCCTGGAAAAGGGTATCCTATCAGAGAAAATCTGAGAGTTCCCCAACCCTCCTAAATGGGGGGTGAGGGGCAGTTGAGGGACACTTTGATCCCCTGTGTTTGCACCCTCTTTTGCTGCTGTGGATCAACAAAGGTCAGAAGCAGCTTCCATCAAACCAGAAGACCCTGGGGCAGCAGGGGAGGCAGAGGCCCCTGGAAGGGGTGTGTGCGCCACCACACCATGCGCTGGAGGGGCACCTGAGCCAAGGAGTAACTAGAATTTGGGAGAACTGGCCCCTGGTGGAGCCATTTTACCAAATACAGAGTAGAAACCACACAGATCAAAGTTGCCCGATTAGGGCTGCTCCTGGCCCAGAAGCAGGCTGCGGTACCAGTCAAGTAATGGGGGTTAAAGTTTCCTCTTGCTAAAGAAATACCTCAAGTACAGGAATCTTGCTAATGACAAAAAAATGTCAGACACAGATAAAGCGGTAGGGGAGCCTTTAGGGGCAGTGGGAAACTTCTAGAGCCTTGCAAGTCAGACATCAAAGTTCCCTCCTGTATGTAGGGGATTTTGAGAAACCAGTGCAAATGATGCGAGTTTTACTGCACTGTACTTAGAGGTGAGACAGGCCCCATTTGTTTATTTCTCCAAAAAGATCACTTTGGGCACTTGGTGGGGGGAATAGTCAATCTTGTTTATGATTCAGATGTCTTGTCATTTCAACATCGTCTTACACATACTTGTACACGCACAAGGATTCTGCAGAAGTCCTGAGACCTCAGGGCACAAGCAGGCCAGGCAGGAGCTACAATAGTCCAAGAGGTCAATCCTCTTGTCTCTCACATGTTGTCACCCCAGAGGCTCAGGGTGACTCTCAGAGAGAGGTGGGGGAGAAAGAGATAGAAAAAAACAGAAAGAGAGAAAGAGACAGAGAAAGAGAAAAGAAGGAGAGAAGGAAGGAAGGGCAGGAGGGAGGGAGTGAGGGAGGGAGGAGGGAGGAGGAAGGAGGAAAGGAGGAGGAGGGAGGGGGAGGGGGGAGAGAGAATTACAGGCCATAGAGCAGCTGCCTGAGGCCATTTTCTCCACACAGAGTGCCAAATATATTTCCCAGACATGCTTGAAAATCTCTCTCCTCAAAGACCCAGCTCCCTATGATGGGCTTATGTTTCCAAGTTCTGGGGGAAATTTTCTACTGCATCCTTCACTTTGGGCCCTACCACACAAAAACAAACTCAAAGCACAGGCCAAAGAAGTCTAAAAACCTCACTACCTTTTGGGAGTAGGGATGGGAGAGGAAAATAAGACAGAGCAAAACCTCTATTGCTTTCTGGATAAGTTACCATTACCATGCTGACTGAAGCCCTCAATGTCTAGTCCGGATGCTGAACATTTCAGAAAGAGGGTTGTCCTCCCCTCTTTTTGTAGGTGAAAGCCACGGAGAAAGAAGCATGAAGTGCAGAAAGAGGAGACATACATTAATGCAATCCACTGACATGCAAGCCACCGGCTGTCAAAGTCCCAGAAACATCTCAGAGAATCAGACAGCCTCCTGCAAATGGTACAGAGGATGACATGGAAGAGGACAGGCACAGTATTCAGGCCTCCTCAGCCTATGGAGCTACTTTCCCCAGAGAGAGATAATTGGTGTGGGCCCACTATGCTGCAGATATTCACTATGGTCACACATGTGGAGGAAGGAGAGCAGGGGAGACCAACTTGGTGGCCTTAAGAGCTCTCTTTCTATACAGGTCCTTGGGTACTGTCTTCTTATAAAATGCTACTTCCTACGTTTTTTCAGACATCCCTCCTAAACCTAATTGCTCCCATACTGCCTCTGATCTCGCTTCCAGACTGCTGGCATCCACTTCCAATTCTTGGCTCAACCCCATGAGCTTGATGTTTAGGCTCATCTTGGCTTTCCAAGCTCCACCAAGCAGGATTCGAATCATGGTTCTCTCTTCTCACACTGAAGCCCCAGGTTCTTCCTGCTAACTCCCATTCTCTGGCTGGCTGCTAAGAGCACAGCCTGAGACAAATGCATGCTATTCTCTCTAAAGCCAAGGCCAGGCAGGTGTCCTTGTGCCAAGCTTCTGTCCATGCTTGACATGACAGCTCTGGCTTGCTGGGTCTTTCTGTGGCTGGGCTTCGTATTGCTCTTTTCCAGGGATTTGGGCGATTATTCTCTACCAATTACAAATTACTTCTTGCTCCATTGAGGGGAAGAGAAGAGACCTTTTCAGTGCTGGGTCCCTCGGTCCCAAGATACTGGCCCGCTGCCAATGGTACCATCTACCCCTAAGGTTAATAACACCCTCTGGTGGCCATGATGTAACTGCAACTGAGGACATTATTAAATTTATTTTTGTAGTTTTATATATTCTACTTATTCTAGTAATTTTGAGTAAATCTATAAAGGTGGGCATTATTATCATCACAACTTTACAGATAAGGAAATAGGCACAGAGATTAAGCAACTTGCCCAAGATTATACAGCTAGCTAGGACTACAGCCTGACTCTGAGCCCAGAAATCTGGTTCAAAGCAAAAGACAGTAACTACCCACCCCACTAAAACCCCCCAATCCTCCTAGAGAAATTCTGGGGCAAATGTGCATCAGGCCTCCAGGTGGGTCGTGTGGACCCCATCCTCATTTCACACTTAGCAGGTAAGATGAAAGGCGGACAGTACTTCTACTGATTGAGCAAGACACTGCTCCAAGACTCCTTAGGTTCCTGAGCATTAAGCTGCATAGTAGGTGGCCTCAACCAGCATAAGATGGTCACTGTCACAAGCTGCGGGTCAGGCTGGGGGAAGAATAGTCAGTTCCTTGTCATGAGGTCACAGCTCTTTGGCCAAGAGAATGAATGCCATGACCTTGAACTACGTACTAGAAAGAACTCGGGGATATATTTTACAAAGAACTCATCAGCTTCATTTTCCTGGGCTACTAGGCCACTCTGTGAAGGGAGAAGTAAGGCTCACACTCAGCTGCCACCCTAGACCAGCAACTTGAAGGAACCACCACAGAGCTCAGTAACCTGAAGAGGTGCCCAACACCAGTCAAGGATCACTGTATCACGTGAGGGGCAATGTCAGATTCATCATCTTCCTCTACCAAGACTTAGCCCCAGTCTGAGCTACATGAGGTTCCTGTTGTCTGAGGCTGGGGCCTGTGACAATTCTCCTGCATTCTTGGCTTTCTTTCCACTTTTGCTAGCTATATACCTGGAGCCCTGAAAACCTCATTCTACCCACTATCCCCATTGCAGGAATTGTGGAAGAACACAGCCAATATCTATAAACCCCAGCCCCAGGTAGGTGCAAACTTACATTCCAACAATGAAGGCCCACAGCTAAAAGGATTTTTCTGAGGAAACCAAATCTTTAATTTGCATCTCTATTATATTAGAAAGGATTTAATTTACAATTACTGACAAGATTTTGTGGAACAGAGCCTTTCAAAGATTGCCAGAAGGGCTCATGAAATTGGTAAACAAATCTTTCTCCAGGATCCCCCTCCTCTCTTTCTGCTACACAATCTGTGAAGTTAACTGCCAGTCCCCCAGTAGCTATTGATAGCAAAGTGAGGGTTGCCAGAGAGTTTGTCCCTCTCCAGAGGAAAAGCCCAGTGTTCTCCACGGGAAGAATAGGGTGGGGACAGAGTACTAGGGTGAATGTTTACTCCTGTTGATGTTATCTTAAAACATAAAGAAGCCCACAACAAAACATCAGAGATTCTCTTAATTTAGTGGTTCCCAAACTGGGATTCCCAAAGGTAACACATTGAGCTATTTGGATTATTTCCAGTACCATATTTCATCTAATCTGAGGCTCTGTCGATGTAAAATACAGCATTATTTATGTACTGCTGAGGAAAAAAAGGCTGTCCTTTGAACCAACTGCCGTATTCCTAAGATGTATCAGGTTTAGAGATGTTTAAAATGTGAAAAGTAGCTTATGTTTTAGAATCAGTGAAATATGGTGTGTTCATGTTGTTAGGGTGAAATGAATCGCTCCTTATAGAGTGCCTAAAGCAGTACTCAACAGACGGGGTTCAATAAATGTTAGATATTAATATTAATTATTTAAATATCTTGGCTATTCATATAGTTAGGATTTAATCCTAAGAGAAATAGGAGGCCAGGTTCAGGGAGAATAACTCACTTTCTCATAACAGAACAGGGAGGTAGACGTTGAGTTGGTTGGTTACGAGGAGACTGAGGGTAGGTAGACTAGACAGATGGACTAGGAGGGGCTGGGTGCACATACTCCCTCTCTGCCTCAGGGAGCACCTGTAAGTCACCGTTTGGAATCAGGCTAGAGAACTGGAGCCCCTGCAAACTGGAAGTAAAGCCCAGCAAGGAAAGTTTGGGTGAAAAGATTCAAGAAATCTGTATTAATACCTTTAAAATGGGGCTGTGAACCAAGAGCACACCTACCAAGAAAGGGTCCCTCACCATCCAAAGAGTAATTGTGTCCTTGATGGTGCTGGGCATACACCACAAGAAAAGGGAAAAATAGGCTGTGCTGTGACACCTCCATCCCCCATAGGTTCTTTGTGACTCCTCATTCCCTCCACATCCTTCTTCAGCATCCCCTCTGATCCCATACTCCATGCCACATTGCCCCACGTTGTCACCTAGGACTTCCTAGGGTCACGAGTTAGAACCCCAAGAATTTGTGAAGAGTGGATGCCTTCAGCCAGAGCAAGGAGGGCCCAAGGGGAAGACAGCATGTTAGCCATCTACTCCTACAGGACGAGGCCAGCCAGTTCCCAGCAGCAGCCCTCTCCACGTCAGATACTTGTTGCAGAAGTCATCCTCTCACTGTGAGCTTTTCTCTGGCTCAGAATATGGAGCCCACTCCTGGTGGCTAATTCCAGACCTTCACATGGGCAGGCCTGTTGAGCATGAATAACAGGGGCCACAGCCAGCATCTCATTGCAGGGGTTCTTCTTCCTGCCCAGGAGGATGTAAGCTACCCTAAAACAAAGTCTAAACTAATTAGTGAATAACAAAACACAGATAGTCAGAAATATATTTACAAAAGCAGAGCCCCTGATCTAGTCCACATGGGTTCTGGAACTAGACAAAAGGAGATGGCTACAGTGGTTTATTTAAGGGGGTACATCAAAAGCAGGGATAAGGTTTCAAGGGTGGGGAGTCTTGCTTCCTGATGTCTTGCAGTCAGCAGGGATCCACATCTTGGCAGGTCACGCCCATCTCAGGTGCTATGCGGGATCTTTGGCAGAGCTTGAGGGGGAAATTCACCTGCATCAGGTGGTCAGTCCCTGTGGGGGTGCCCCAGGGAGTTCCCAATGCCAGACTTATCCCTTCACGAGGATACTATGTGCAACACAGTCCACACACAGCCCACGGAGGGCTTGTGACAGATGGGTATACAGTAAAGGGGGCCAGGTTAACTTCAGTGTAGCTCTATGTCAGGGAGAAAAACCTCATTGCAGCAGTGAGACAGTCTGAGAGAAAAGCAATGGCCTTTGCTACTACCCAGCATTTGGCCACAGGCTGTCACAGCTACAAAGGCTTGGCAAGGGGACTGCCTGTGCTTCCTGTCCGCTGGCCATCAGGGCTCACAAGAATTCATTCACCACTCACCGGTGCACAACCCATCTCAAGCACAGCTCTTCCTCTCTAATGCCCCCCCCCCCCCCCCCAGAAAAGCATAGAAAAACCAATGAAAGAAGGGCCAATTGTTTCCCATCAAGCCTTTGGTGTCCAGAGCTGACTTGAGTTAAATCTCTTCTAGAATAATATAAAAGGAAATGAATTCCTCAAGCAAACCATTTTAAGACAGTACCACTTGATTCAAACTAAGTGTTAGGAAATGTCAGAGAGTTTACTTCCTCTACAAACAATTGTTCTCACATCTCAAACTTAAGATTTATGATTTTCAAACCTCAGGTCACCTTTGAAGTGTGAAGGCTGTAAAACAATAGCCTCCCATCTCTTGAGACTTCTAGCAAATTCCCCAATTTCTATCCCTCTCTGGAAGATATTCATTGCACATCAAAGAGAGACTTTGATCAAATACATATTGTTTTGGGTTCAAAGTTAGACATTGTTTACTTTCTTTTTGACCAGTATAAGTCATATATGCGCATGAGTACACACAAAAATATCATCCCGGTTTTCTTGACTTTTTAAAAATTTTGCCCAAAGGTGAACTCTACTTACTGTTATTTGCTTCAAAATATTTTTTTTACAAGACTTGTTCCCAAAGTTAGACTTTTAACTCTTTACTGTAAATAAAAGGTAGATATTGCTATCATCTCTTGCCTAAACAACAACAAGCATCTCCCTCTACCCCAAATTCTATTTATGCTTTTATTTTTCTCCTTTATGTTCTTAGGTCAGTGTTCTTTGAAACTCTACCTCTTCAACAAGCATAAATGAACCACTTCTCTCCTCTCTCCAAGGATCTAAGAATGCCAGACTGGCTGGAGTTTGTGCTGAGAGAACTCTATGAGGTTGCTATGAGACAAAGGTCAAGACGATGTCCTTTAGATCACTCAGAAAATTACGAGTGGAAATGTGCACATCCTTAAGGATCAGAAGAATACAACCCTTACACTTAAAAAAAAAAACTGTGGTTAACAGCTTGTTGAGTTTAATGTATATACCATAAAATTCAAGATTCATGATTTTAATATATTTACAGAGTTGTGCAGTGATCATAACCTAATTTTAAAACACATGCAACACCCCAAAATGAAACCTGGTGCTCATACAGTCTCCCATTCTCTTTCCCTCCAGCCCTAAGTAACCACCAATCTAAGATTTGCATTCTCTGGGCATTTCATACAAATGCCATCTTATAGCATGTGTGCTTTTTGGGTCTAGTTTCTTTCATGAGCATATTTTTGAGGTTTGTCCAGGTTGTAGCATATATCAGGACTTCATTTTATTTTTCAATTGAAGTGAAATCCACACAATATTAAATACATTCACAATGTTGGGCAATCTTTATTGCCATCCATTACCAGGACTATCTTTAACTTATAAAATGGAGACATTATCAATTAAATAACTTCCCATCTCCCTTTCTCCCAGCCCCTGGCAACCACCAGTTCTACTTTATGTTTCTATTGTCAAGTAGTGTCCCATTGTAAGTCTATAAAGCTTTTTTTTTTTTAATATCACCAACTGATGAACAATTGGACTGTGTCTTCTTTGACTGTTGTGAATAAGGCTGCTAAGAGTATTTTCATATGCATTTTTTTTGTATAGATATGTGGTTTTATTTTTCCTGTGTAGTCACCTTGGAATGGAATTGTGGGTATGAGTTTCCTGTTGCTGCTACAACAAATTATCACAAACTTAATGGCTGAAAATAATGCAAAATTATCTTGGTTTTGGAGATCAAAAGTCAAAATGGGTCTTACAGATTAAAATCAAGGCATTAGCAGAACTCTGTCCTTTCATGAGACTTCATGGGAGAGTACATTCCTTGTCTTGTCCATCTGCCAACATTCCTTAGTTCATGGCCACATCATTCCCAGCCTTGGCTTCTGTTGCCTTATCTCTGCTTCCACCTCAGTTTGTTTATAAGGATCCATGGGATTACAGTGATCTAGAATAATCTCCTTGTCTCAAAAATCTTAAATTAATCATATCTGTGATATCCCCTTTTCCATGTAAGAAAAAATATTCATGGGATCTGGGAATTAGGATGTGTACTTTTTGCAGGGGAACTGGGCTATATGGTAATTATATATTAAACATTTTGAGAAACTGAAAAAGTATGTTCTAAAGTGGCTGCACCATTCCTAACAGCAACAGATGAGGGTTTTTTTTTTTCCTTTTTTTTGGGGGGGGGGGGGTTGTTACTGGGGATTGAATCCAGAAGTACTTTACCATTGAGTCATATACCCAAGTCCTTTTTTATTTTAAGACAGGGTCCCACCAAATTGCTTAGCTGGCCTGAACTTGCAGTCTTCTTACCTCAGCCTCCCAAGCTGCAGGGAGTATAGGTGTGCTACACTGCTCCCTGAAAGTCATAATTTCTTTACAGTCTAACACTTGTTCTTATCTGTCACATTTATTATCAAAATCCTAGTGGGAATGAAGTGGTCTCTGGAATTTGATTTGCATTTCTTTAATGAGTAATGATGTTGAGGATATTTGCATGTGCCCAGGATCATCTGTACCTATTTGGTTTATTTTCATCAGGGACAGGGGAATGGTAGAGATAAATGCACCACCGAGCTTTCCCATTGTGTGCTCACCTTTCTCACCCATGCCCCCTTCCTGAACCTCCACCGTCTCCCCATGCCAGGCTACAAAACCAAATATCTTTTCAGTTTTCTAGTAGTATCCCATTGTGTGGTGATCAGCCTTTTTTTATATCACCCATTGATGGATATTTGGATAGTGTCCTCTTTGGCTACTATAAACAATGCTGTTTTGAGTATTTTCACTAGGCACTCCAGTTCAGGAAGATGAAGGAAGGGCGCCTGGCTTAGGCTTGCTTTCTTGTTGCCACCAACTGTCCCTCACATTTGATAGTTGCCATTTCACAGCTGCCAGTACCAAATGACTATAAGGAAAAGGAAACCCTGGTTCAGACCCAAACCACAGCACCTTATTTCAACCCACAGCTGGGCCTGTTAAGCCCAAGTGGCAAAACCCAGCATATCTCTCGCCCCTATTTTCACCTCTCCTTTCCCATCGTTGTCAGATAATTTGGCCTATAAGACTTTTGCTCTGGGGAGTATATGATCATTTTCTTTCTGGTCAAATAAGTGGTGCTATGAATATTTCTTGGACAAGGGAATCCAACTAAACAAGGCAGATGGCACACATATAGGTACCTCTCTTCCTTAAATTAAAAAAAAAAGCAAAAAAAAAAAACCCACTAAAATAATAGTAAAACCAAATTTTTTTTTAGGAGGTATAAACCAACAACAGCAAAGAGAATTGTAGAAGAAACTACCATAGATTCAGATGTTGGCAATACCTTTTTTTTTAATGTAAAATCAGTAGAGGAGAGGAAACTGTCATTAGAGAAAGGTGGGGATCCTGTATGGGAGACTGAGGAAGAAGTAAAATGATTGCCACCATGGAAGGCCCAGACTCGGGGACACTAGTACCTCCTACAGCAATGGAAGAAGCCAGAAGACAGTTGAACATCTGTAACAGAAAAGACTACCGTGGTAATTTTTTTTTTTCTTAAGAAAAAAATGTTTGTCTTCCTCATCCTAAGAAAAAGCAACACTCAATCACCCTTGGTCTATCTTAAGGAGGATTAAGATATAGCCACATTTTTCCTGCTTTGCTATAGTCAGACTCATGTTGAATATTGCCCACACTCCCTTGTTTGTGTTCTCTCCTCCTTCCAAGTTCTTGTCAGTCTAGACTTTGCCTTCTCCCTCCCATCCCTCCCTAAAGTTTCCCTTGCAGTTGCTAATCCAGGGGGTACACAGAGGACCATGAAAGACTGGATCTCTCAGCAGCCCGGAACGTTCTTCACTCTCTTCTCTTTCTTGAGATTCTTTTCTGCCCTCGGTTTCTGAATCTTTGCACTCTTGTGGGGTCTGGCTTCTCCTTCATGGCCATCTTAACAAGTTCTTCCTTTAGGGAAAAGGTCCCCTAAATGTTGCTTCTCTTGCGATTCCATCTTGATCTGGTTTCACTCTGCCTACTAGACCATCCACCTAGATACCTACTAGAAACTACACAAAGGTTTTTCATGGATGAATTAAACTCAGCTGAACTTCTCATCTTCTCAACCATCTTCTATTTCAGAAAAAGGCACTGCCATAGAAACCATAACCCTGACTTCTGTCATTTTAATCTTAAATGTGCCCCAAAGGCCCATGTGTTAAAGGCTTGGGTGGGGCCTGGTGGGAGGTCTTTAGGTCTTTGGGGAATGCCCTCAAGGATGGTTATGGGACCCTTGTCTCTTCCTCTTTCTCTTTCACTTCCCCAGCCATGAGGTGAGGGGTTTTGCTCTACCACATCTGTCGGCATCCTGATAAGCATATCATTTTCAGCCTTACATTTTAAATGGCCTAAGAACAATGGGCCAATTGATCATGGATAGGAACCACCCACACTGGAAGATAAAACAAACATTTTCTCTTTATTATAGTAACAGAAAGCTAACATGGCGGTACTCTTACATGTCTCTCTCCCCGTCACTGTTCTGCTTATCACTACCTCACAAATTATTCCAAAATGTATATAAGCCACTACCTATTTTGCTCCTGGTTTTGTGGGTCAAGAACTCATGAAGGATCCGGCTAGGCAGCTTGTCTCTGATCTGTGTGGCATCAGCTATGCATCTGAGGTCAGAGGATCCACTTTCAAGATGTCTTTTTCAGTCACACGTCTGACACTCTGTTCTCCTTGATCTCTTTACCTTCACATGGCTTGGCATTTTCCAGGGTCTCTCCACATGGCTTAGCCTTCTTAAATAGAGAACATTTCTTAAATAGAGGCAGGGTTCTAAGAGGGAAAGTGGAAGACTCCAGGCCAGCTGGGTACTACAACTGGAATTGGCACAGTGTGACTTCTTCCATATTCTATTATTCAGAGTAGTCTTGGGGCCCATGCAGAGGTGGGAGGTGGAAAAAGCCTCCGTCTCTTGATATAGATGGAAAACATTATGACCATCTGTGGAAATACCATCCGCCACGTTCACCCACACAATTCATTACCAAGTCTTATCCATTCTACCTTATAGATAACGCCCAAGTGTATTTACTTCTCTCCTTCACCACTGTCGTTGCCTACAAGTCACAATTTTTTCTCTCCTGGACTTCTGTCTTAGCCTCCTGACAGATTGCCATGGTACTTTCAAGGTCTCCTCCATTCTCTATGTAATTGGAAGAGCTATCCCTTTAAAAGAGCTATCCCTTTAAAACTTATGTTTCTCCTTATTTTTGAAACTTTTACAGGGCTCCCTATTGCACTTAGGAAGATTATAACAACATTCACAAGTCCTTTTATGACCCTCTCTCCACTCATCTATCCTCATCTCTCACCCCACAACTTTTTACTCGACACTTTAGGCCGATGGAAAATTTTTCATTTCTTGAATTCACACTATCTTATCTTTCCTCTCCAGGCTTTTACACATTCTCGCCCCTCTTCTACCCTATCTTTATCTAGTTATCTCCTCCTCAACCTCAGCCTTTAGGTGTCAGTTTAAAATCTACTCTAAGTAAACTTTCTTAGACTCCAAGACTAAGTTATTTAGTCCTTCCATACCCTTGGCACTCCATATGTACTAATCCTGTGCTAATTATTACTCTTAAAAATTCATCACCTTTTGTATTTCTTTGTTTGATGCCTTTTAATCTGTTCTGTATATAAATGCACCTGTATGTAAGTACTTGTTCTCTATATAAGTGTACCTCTAGTGTCTGGAACATTCCTGTCCATAGTACATGCTCACTAAATATCAAATAAAAGAATCTTCCTTTTTATAGTTTATTTTGCTATGAACTGATAGTGGTGTGTTAAATCTCCCATTAAAATTGTGGCTCTGTAAGTGTAATATTGCCTTCCCTGTTTAATTTCCATTTACAATGGAACTTTTTGTTTTTGTTCTCCCTTCTGTTTTTTTTAATTTCTTATAGAGGTGTTTGGTTAGATCTCTTTTAGACAGTATGTATTTTGATTTTAAAAAAAATTTGGTCTGGACTCAGGCTTGTCAGGGACAACAGGCTCTGTGCCGGATGCTATGTGCTTCAGGTGAAGAATTCTCCATCTGGAGGGTCCCCCAGGGTTAGTTGGTGACCCAGCAGAAGCCAGAAATGATGTGGCTTCACCTGCTGAGCCAGGTGGGAGCAGGATGAGTAGGAGAACATGTGCCAGTCAGGAGGGCTCAAGGCACTTGGGGACTGTGACCCAGAAGAGAGCCACCTACCTCAAGCTGTCACCACTGTGCTTCTGTCATGCTACGTTTTGTGCTTGAAATCATATATTTCACTGGGAAGACTAAATATAACTACTTCTAATGAGTAACTGAAAAAATTACAAGAGAAGCCGACTATTTGCCATGCAAAATATCATTTGTCCCAAAGACCAAGGACAGCAGGGCACTGAGTGGCCGCCATCACAAGCCAATCATCAGAAGGTAGCTCCAGTAACAAAATCCTGGTAACAAATTTATAATGACTACTATCAAGATTTACAAGGACAAATGCATTTTACAAGTGGTGATCTGAAATCAGTAACGCATCAATAAATGTAACAAATTTAGGGTTATCAGATAATGACACATATCAGCTGCTGGTGTTGAAATTAAGAAGATTTGGCTTACACAATTAAGCTTTTGGGTACAAGATGTTGCATTGATGGATCAGAGGAGTTTTAAAATACATTTTTAACCAAAATAGAAACCAAAACAAAGTTCATTTCCATTATGATATGAATGGCAAAAATTGTCTAGCTCACAGAAAATTCCTCTCTCATTCCTATCTCATCACAAAAAATAGAAATATTTGAAGCGAAGGATATTTTAGTTAGATTTATTTAATTATTTTACACTGTATATGTATCATGGTTATCAGAAAGGATCTCACTCATTATATCTATCTATCTATCTATCTATCTATCTATCTATCTATCTATCTTGGGGTACCAGATATTGAACTCAGAGGCACTTGACCACTGAGCCACATCCCCAGTCCTATTTTGTATTTTATTTAGAGACAGGGTCTCACTGAGTGCTTAATGCCTTGCTTTTTG